GGTACGATCTGTTTAATTGAAAAAAATGTTTGTTTTGTTTGATCCTGTAGCAAATGTAAAAAAACTTTCTCCGCGGCCCAACCACAAAGTGCTCAAAGAATAAAATAATCCTTGACAAAGCTGCACAAACGAATATATTATTAAATAAAGAACAATTTGTCTACATCTTTTTTTTGCAATCCAACCCCTACAAAATAAGTTTTACTCAGAAGTCAAAGAAAGTAACTGATCACTTTTACTATACATTTAAAAACAATCAAAGTCCTCACTTGGGTTAAAAAAAAGTATTTTTTTGTGTTCAGATTTTAATACGGCAAGATTGAAGAATGTTCCACGGTACTTCCAGAATATTTCTTATTGAAAGCTTTACGTACCCGTTTAACATCAGCTTTGGGAAACCGCATATTGACTTGCTCACAGTTTTCAATTCTACATGAAATTTCCAGTGGAAAATTTACTAAGAATTTTGTACACTAAAAAAAACTTATTAGCAATATTTACAAAAAATTGACAGATTCGCTAATTAAGAACTATTACCTGCCAATAAAACGTGTCAAAAAACGATTGGCGGCAAACGGCCTCAAAATTGGCATAATTTGGGGACCCCATATTTATTGTAATGAGATTTTTCCAAGTTTAATTTTGTTCACGTTGAATTACGTATTCCCCGTATAGTGAAATTCAACATGAAAATCCCATGATAAATTTTTTGGCTTTTGCAACGGGGTTAAGCATAGAGGAAATACGATTTGTACGTACCGCTGACAGTACCATTTAAAAAATTTGTTTTTTCTATCTTATCAACTCTTCTAACATCATTGTAATAAACCTTGATAATCAAGTAGTTAAAAAATACGAAACAAAAATTACTTAGTTTAGTCCATTTATAATTGTATTGTTTATTGTTCATAAAATTTTTGATACCTATCCTTATAAACGTCAGCTGAAGGAATAAATCATGGACAAAAATTCCAAAGACGAAAATTCCGACAAAAATTCCAAAGACAAAAAGACTATCAGTAATCTTAAGATCTTGTATGACCACTTCCTTCATCCATGAAGCATTAAATAATAACACAAGCACCAATTACCTAATGACCTGGGGTGCTTACTGACCACTGTATTTAATAATAGAATGATAAATAATAACACAAGCGCCAACTACCTGACAACAAAAAGCGCTAACTGGATGCTCGGTGCGAAAATAAAATGATACATAATAACACAAGCGCCAACTACCTGATGACCTGGAACGCTTACTGGCTGCTCTATTAATTAGCAAAATGATAAATAATAACACAATCGTTAATCCCCCTACGACCCCAGGGCGCTAACTGGCTGTTCTATTAAATAATAAAATGATAAATAATAACACAATCGTAAATGCCCCTACGATCCCCGGACGCTTACTGGCTGTTCTATTAAATAATAAAATAATAAACAATAAAACAATCTTTAATCCCCCTATGACCCCGGGACGCTTACGGGCTGTTTTATTGATCAATAAACTTATAAATAATTACACAAGCAACAACTACCTGATGACCTGGGACGCTAACTGGCTGCTCTACTAAATAATAAAATGATAAATAATAACACAATCGTTAAACCCCCTATGACCCCAGGACGTTTACTGGCTGCTCTATTAAATAATTTAATGATAAATAATAACACAATCGTTAATCCCCCTACGACCCCAGGACGCTAACTGGCTGTTCTACTAAATAATAAAATGATAAATAATAACACAATCGTTAAACCCCCTATGACCCCAGGACGCTTACTGGCTGCTCTATTAAATAATAAAATGATAAATAATAACACAATCGTTAAACCCCCTATGACCCCAGGACGTTTACTGGCTGCTCTATTAAATAATTTATTATATTATTCTGGCAACATACTACATACTTATACAAAAACCAGCACAGCTTCTGTAATTATTATGAATGTATAGTGTATACTTAAGATTAAAGATTCTTACAGAAACTGAATGAAATTTTTTTGAAAAAAAATTATTCAATTGACAAATGAGGAAGTTGTTGTTTAGTAATACAATAACCATAACCTTTGGATTTAAAAACACAGTCTTGGGTTTTACATTAGAATCGTTTTTAATACTTACAAAAAAAATTATTTTCTAATCAATTAGCATAGAAATCCCTAAACATGCAATTTCTGCCTTTTATAGTAAAGATATATAGATATAGCAGGTATACATGTTATACTAGTTTAACGTACCATGTTCATTTTCATCATAAAATATTTATTTAAGAACGAATTTTGAATTCGTGAAAATATAAAAATGAAATGGCTTTGACAATTAGTTATGTAATCTGAGCTTTGACTCTCTCTTAAAAGCAAGTAAATAGATCAAGATTATCACTGAAAAACTGAATTTTTTTTACTGAAAAAAATTTTAGCATTCAGTAATTAGCAGTAGACAGATGCTTATAAGAAGTTTAGTTAATCTCTTTATCATAAATGAGTAGATATATAATAGTACGTAAGAAGAAAGCATTATTACTAAACTTGAAATTGATCATTAGGTGATAGGCGCTTGTGTTATTAAATTTTAGAATTTATTATTTAATGGAGCGGACAGTAAGCGCCCTGGGTCATTGGGTGATAAGTGCTTGTGTTATTATTTATCATTTCGAAGGTTAAAACGTAACGTAATATTGAAAAATTTCAGATTTAAAAAATTTTTAAAACCCTTTTATCAACCAAAGTTTTAATTTGAAGATTATAATTTTTTTTGGGAACACCATTTTACTTACAAGCTTGTGGCAAAAATTGGGAAACAAAATAGTCTGAGGAGCATCCACAAATTTTTTAGGCCTAATTCGCTGAGTATTTTTTTATACTCGTGAGTTGAATGGAATTCTTCGGGATAAGCGCCCATACATTTGCGTAATTGGTACGATACCTCGTTGAAGGTCCTTTAAACAATTAGGGAATGGTTAAGAAATAAATCAAGATTTCTTACTGATGGGTAGACAGACAGGAAATTAAGTTAAAAAACCTTGAAAAATGTTCTTCCCGACTGTTTTAAAAACATTATTTTGTACAGCGCTGGTTGTGGTGCTACAATAAATAATTATATAATAACAGCTCGAATTTCTAAATATAGAAACACTTATTTTAATAGCAAATATTGTTTTTTATTTATTTTGTAAATCTCATCTGATTTCTCGTATGAATTCTCACGTGAGATCTCGCGTGACGATTTGGCATGATGTGTCACCTGAGATATCACATGAGAAATCATATGAGAAATCACTAGACATCCGTAATAAATACAGGGTAGGGTAATAAATACAAAAACTTTCAAGATGTTTTTTTGGCCTTAAAGGACTTCTACACCAAATGGAATTAACATTGCAATCGAGCTAAAATTTTAGGTATAAATGAAAATTAGTCTAAAAATGACCAAGTTGAATTTTTAAGACGTGGGATTCATTAAAAAAATATACTAAATTATCATCATATTCTCCCTCAACCAAGTAAAATTATGTTGTCAACATCTCTCACAACTCTCCACACTCTTCAGGAATACTTTTTTTTTGGAATGAATCTCGTCCACAATTCCTTAAATTTTTTAGTGACATTTTATTACGACTCAATAATCCCTAAATTATAATTCATTNACCCCATACATTTATGATAGGTACATTATTCGACTTACCATGGGGATGGTACAACCGGAATGGCATGCTAGGGAACAGTTGATGGCAGATTTTAACATTTTTTTATCAACGTTAGTATTTTCAGTCAAGCTATACCTCACATTTAAGCATGACATATAAACTGACATGTCAGATGACATCTCAGAGGACATATCAGCTGACGTTTATAAAGAGGGATCAAAGACGCTTGAAATACGTGTTGCAACAACAGGACTAATTTAATTTAAATAAAATTGTTCTTACATGTTCGTCTAAATGTGTTCTTTTTCTTGTAAAGCTAGGTGCAAGGATGTTACTGGAATTATTACTGTCATCATCCAGCAAATTAGCACAAGATTTTCTGAAAATATACAATGAGTATACATAACACATTTTTTGTATCATTAATTTATTAAGTCTTACAGTACCTGTGGTTAAACAATATTTGGCCATTAAAAAACTTGAAAATTTTTCCACAGTTTACACATAGCAGCTTCCACAGTCATGGTTTTTGCATTAGGTAATTTCACAAAATGTATCCAATTTATTTGAGGATTTTCCATTGACATGATTTTTAAAATTACAAATTATAGGATAAAATAAAGTTTTTTATTTAATCATAAAAACAGTTTCAAGCTGCAAAAATTGAAAAAAAGAGTTTTAAGTCAGAAGTGTTAAAAGGTTTGGACAAAGAAAGCACTACAAAGGTTTATAAAATAAAAAACAATTATATAAGGCAACGAGGACTGGTACATAAGTATTTCAAAGAGAAAGAGAGAAAGAAAAAGAGCACTAAAATATTTGTAACAGAAATTTCTCCACAACAAAGAGGCATGACACGTTTGAAATAATTATTTGAAGATAGGGTTTTAACACAAGCTAGTCCTAAATAATCTATTCATGGTTTTAAAAAAAACTTGCATTCATATCTTTTGATATAACTTTAGAACTTCTTGAGACAGTGCTTAAATAAAGAATGTACTCTACTCATTACACATTCATAAATCCAGTAATAAATACTTGATTATAATTACTTGGAGTATCGTAGAGCAACTTACCAAATATATTATTGTATTATACATCCTCATGGATCAAAGTTATCACTTTAGCAATATGCTTTTACATAACTACTGTGCCTTGACTCAGTTTTCTAAAAACTTAATAAAACATAATGACTAGTAACGTCATTTGGAATTCACTCAGTAGTTACATTCTTAAAACATACAATAAAAAAAACTAATTTATGCCAATAGTCTAGAAGTCGTAGAGGTTAACTTATGCCAAACAATTGTTCCAAGTATTTAAAGAGATGATTTCCATTCATAACTATTTGAACATAGCACTACCATTGCTATTACAGGCACAACCACAAAAATTCACAACCTTAAGAACAATTCACGTGAATTAAAAAAAAAGTTTTTTAACGTCTATCAAGGATGGTATCACATGCATCACATATGTATTACACATGTAATACGTATGTGAAACATGTATATGTGACAGCGACCCAACCCTAAATGGAGGTGCGGACTTTAGACGCAAGGACGAGGGCCGCTTGTATTGGAGGGAAGATGTTAAACTTCTTGATAATCTGGGTATTCGTGATGTACCACGAAATACCCAGGACCGACCTCAGTATCTTCATGAAAGGGCCCTGGATGCCCTGTAGTCGGTTTCCCTTTGCGGCGCCCCATGTTGGTATCGCGTAGGTGCTAATGCTCTTGATGATGGCGTTGAAGGTGCGCAGCTTGGTCTTCTGGGAGACTGCTTTGTTGTTAAAAAAGGGCTTTAGTTGCACGAAGGCTCCATATGCATTACCGCGGGTGCTGTTGATGTGCCGAACGTACGTGAGTCGGCGGTCTAGCGTTACGCCAAGGTACTTGGCGGAGTAGCTCCAGTCGATTTCTACTCCGTTGACCTTTATTTTCTGCAGTTTCTTCCTTGGATTTTTCCAGGAGACAAGCATGGCTATAGTCTTTGCCTCGTTTACGACCAGTTTCCAAAGACTATACCAGTTATGGAGAGTGACGATGTGCTCGTTTAGAAAGGTGGTGCACCAAGAGTGTTGTTTTGACGTGCAGCTGACCGCGACGCCGTCTGCATAGACGTACGTGTTGATATTTTCGCGATGGGGTAGGTCATGGCAAAAAATGTTAAAAAGGGTGGGTGAAAGTTTGGAGCCTTGGGGGACTCCGGAGGTTATTGGACGGGGGTCGGAGAGGGAGTCACCTACTTTAACGTAGATGAATCTGTCTAATAGGTAAGATTTGATGAAGCCGATATGGTAGTGCGAAAAACCTAACTGAATAAGCTTGTACAGGAGGCCTTCGTGCCAAACTGTGTCGAAGGCCTGCTGTACGTCTAGAAAAGCTATTGTGGTGAAGTTTTTGTGGATGAGGCTATCGGAGAGGTCATCAGTGACTCTCAGAAGCTGGTGAACTGCCGAATGTCTGGCTCTAAAACCGTACTGCACGTCTGGAAGGATGTTATTTTCCGTGGCGTGCTTGTTTAGGCGGGTAAGAATGACGCTTTCAGTGATTTTACTAGGTGATGAGAGTAGGCTAATGGGTCTGTGGCTCGCGGGGTTGCTGAGGGGTTTTCCCGGCTTCGGGAGGCAGATGACCGTAGCCACCTTCCACGCAATTAGAAAATAACGATGGCGCATCACGGCGTTGGTGATGTTGCAAATCGCCGTGATAAATTTTTGAAGGAGGATTTTCAGGACGCTATTAGAGATGCGGTCACTGCCAGGGGCTTTTCGAGTTTTAAGGGAGCGGATGATGCCTTTGATTTCGAAGGGTGTGCAGTGTTAAAAATCTGTACTGTCAAGGACCTGTTGCTGCACCGTGTGGGTGATCCTCTCGTGTTCCTGCGCTTGTTCTTCAGCGCTAAGATTGGGGGAGCATTGATTTTGCAGCGAATCTGCAAAGATCTCTGCTTTGTCCGAATCTAGAGAGTAGAGTTTGTTCCCTTGTGAAGGGGGGGGGGGAGGGAAGGCTGTTTGTTACGGAGTTTTTTAACGACCTTCCAAGCATTTCTTGGGTGGGACTTTGCCTCGGCTATGAATTTGTTAAATTCCTTGTTTCGGAATTCAAAGACTTTGGATTTGACTTCCCTTTCAAAGGAGTAAATATGAACTTTAAGTTCGGGGCTTCTCCTTTTTTGCGAGAGTTTCTGGAATCTTTTCTTCTCCTTGATGAGACGCAAGAGGTCGTGGGGGAGTTTTAGTGTGTGTTGGGGAGCTGTGATTGTTGTGGTGGCTTCTTGTGTGCATCTGTTGAGTTCGTCAGTGAGTTTGTCTCCTGCTTTGTCGAGTTCCGTTTGGGACCTGATGGGACGACATTTAAATGGGGAGGATTCGAAGTTATACGCAAGGTGGACCTAGTCTATGCGGCTGGTGGTGACGGGTATGGTGAGAAGGGATCTTGGGATCTCTAGGTAGACTGGGTTATGGTTGCAAGGGAGATCTGGGGATGTTCGTGGTTCCGTAGGGATGGTCAAGTTTCTTCGTCAGGAATATGTCTAAGATGTCTGAGTCTTGGTCTGGTGAGCTGAGATAGTATGTCGGTTCACTAGGAACCTCAATGTTGATGTTGAGGTTGCGCAAGTGTTTGAGGAGGGAACGACCCTTAGGATTTTCGTGTTTGCATCCCCACGATTTGTGCTTAGCATTTAAGTCACTAGCAACTATCGTAGGGATGTTGGAGTCAAACAACGGAATTATGCATTGGAGGTTTGGATCATCCGTTGAAGGAGAATAGAGGGAGATGATTCTGATGGAGGCAGATGAGGTATTGTGATCTTCGATGCTGACTGCTTCGCAGTTGGCAGCGTCCGTACTAATGACTCGATGGCGGATGCCCTAGCGTACAAGTATAGCCACTCCGCCATGGGATTTTTTGCGTCTGTCACGTCTGTGTACCGTGTAGTTTGGTATGTAGAGTGTTTTTGTGTTGTCTAGGTGTGTTTTAGTGATGCATGCAATGTCGATGTCTTTTGTCTGGAGTATGTGTGTGAGTTTAGTCGTTTTGTGTGTGATGCTGTTTGTGTTCCAGTTGAGTAGCGTAAAGTATCTGTCTAGCGCGCTGCTGTTCTGTTGCCCTCGAGACAGGACACTCTTTGGTCGAGGCGAGTCAGTAGGGTCATTATTGAGTGGAGGATTGTCGCGGTGGTCGGGAGTGTGTTGAGCAGAGGAGTCGGGGGAGGGGCTCTTGTTCGATGTTGTCAAGAGGATGCCACATTCGCGTATGACATCCTAGGGCGAGTGATATTCGAGCCTTTGGCTGTTGTCCGAGAAGCGGCTTTCCCAAAAGAAGGAGGAGGAGCGGCAGTACTTTTCTTGGGGGCATGTGCTCCTTCTAAGGGGATTTTTGGACAACCCCGGTAGAAAGCGGGGTGCTCGCCATTGCAGTTTACACAGTGAGGGGTGACTTGGTCCTTGTCCTTTTTTGGACACGTTGCGGTGGCGTGGTTTAAGCTGGATAAACCACAAACGAAGGCCGCACGGCAGTAGGCCGCCGTGTGATTGAATTTTTGACAGCGACGGCACTTGGGAATGTCGTTTGATTTGCGCTTCTGTTCTACTCTGACAGAAGTGCCCCCGAGAGACCTGATGTTGTAGATGTCGTGGGATGTGACATCTGACGCATCTAGGTACACAGTGACTAATGACCAGGTTTGGTCACCTTTGGTCATGCGATAAACACGACGGATGGATGGTACTTTTTCCTAAATCATTTCCAGGATTTCTACATCCGTGTAGCCGATGTTGACTCCACAGATGACGACTATCATTTTACGGTCCTCGTGAAGCTAATATTTGGTGAATTCGACCTTTTTCTCGTCAAAGTCGTGGACGATACGTCGAAAGCCGTCGACATTGTCGGGGTACACGCGTGTACCTTTGGAGGTCGCAATGACGCGGCGAAGAGGGATATTCTTCGCGACGAGGGCTTTATTAATCTTGGGCCATAATTTTTGGTCCAAGATTGTGATCGGTGGGGATGCCTTCTTTTTGGGTGCGTCATGTTGAGTTTGGTCCTCAAGATGACTATCGAAAGTGTTTTTCCCTGAAGAGCTAAAAGGTGACTCTTGCGTTGGGGATTTTCCGACCTCCATGTCGGAGAAGTTGGCTGCGGAGTCTCCCGCGTCGGAATCGCTCGTGCGCCGTTTTTTCTGGGGTGGCTTTACACTTGGGGAATTCGCTGGGGTGTTTACCGTTTTTGGTAGCGCGGGAAA